GGGAATTCCATATTACTTTATCTTAGATAGAGACTCTTAGTTTATATTAGTATTTTAGAAAGATCTATTCTCTAAAATAAAGATAAAATAGTACTATTCCACCACTACCCATCCTTAGATAGACAGTCAAAGCAAACAGATCATCCAAGTCGTTGAGACTATGCTTTGATATAGAGTTATATAGACCAGATACTATACTAGTTAATAGTCTATATTCATCTCTTCTATTATTTTAACTATTAATTTGTCTGTATTATTGTCTACAAACAAAATATCTTATAAGTTAATATTTGGTATTACCCTTTGTCAATTATAGTACTTAGTAAAGTCAATCCTGAGAAAGATTAAATATCTAGTAATATCAACCACAGAATCTTAATACCTTTATATAGAAGTTATTATTCCTAGATATACTAACACTCATAATACTTAGACTACTAATAATAATATTAATACCTAGGACTTTTCCTGTTATTTTAATACAGAAGAAGCACTATAATTTATATCTATTAGAATAAAGAAGCACTATAACGCTTAATATAAGTCCTTATCTTTTGATATTAGTAATAAGGTATATCTATATCTACATCAAGGCTATACTATATCTTCTATTTATATTAAAGATACTAAGAAGAAGCTTATATCCTAATTTATTGGTTCTTTCAAGATTCTCGAAGTGGTTGGATGTCATGCCTATTGACTGAAGCTGCTGTTATCCTGGACTATCCACCCAGTAGTATCTATCGCCCAGCTGGAGCCTACTACTGATATTAATCTGTTTAGTCATACCCTTCCTAAACCACTCTATATAGAAGACAAAAGGTTTCCTGGTTAAACTAATTACTATAAAGTTGAAGTGATTATTAATAAGTATCTTATCTATAAGGGTTGGTATTGAAAGCCCGTCCTAGAGTATCTGATCTGTTGGTCTGGGTATAGACCTGAAGATGATCAGTAGGTGCACGTGTTGGACATTACTACCGACAAAAAGATTAATAAATACAAAAGATATTAGTAGTATTAATTATCTACTATATCTTAGATAGTTTCTATACTTTATATCTCTATTTATATATATCTACGACAAGGACGTTGTCATGAAAAAGGCTGGTATATATAATAGTAGAAGATGGTATTGAGGATTCTGTCCTATTATTCCGCCTTGGGCGAATCTTAGCTAGTTCATCCCGTCGCGGGATCCTGAGAGAATCAACAACTTCATGATAATAATGACATTATAAGGATCTTTCCCTACCACCGACTTTGACAAGCTATTTCTTCTTATCTTAATAGTTCTTTTTCTTATTATTATATCTATTATCTTAATATCTATTATAATCCTTTCCACAGCTATTATATCTAGTAACTTTGTCTTACTACTAGAATATCTAATACTCTAGATATTACTTAATAATATATTATACTCCTTACACTCAGATATATCATCCCATATATTAGGGTCAAGATACTCCCATATCATACACAGCTGATTGTATATATTATTAATATAGACAGACTGCGTGTATAGTAAGATCTCTTAAGTAAAAGTATTAACTAATCAGTTGGTATAAATATCTTTGTATAAATATATAATATTATTAAGATAGTAAATAGTATTATATATATTAAGGTAAAATTAATATAGTAATTTATAGAACTAATTATCTTTAAGACTAAGAGTATATATTAAGTACATCTTATAATTAGTAACTTTAGACTAATACTATTATAATATAGTACTGATAAGATATATCTAAATATTTTACTTTAATTATAATTTTATCTTTATAATTAATAGTATTATAGAGATAATTAATAAATAGATATATATTCTAGTAATATATTTTTTAACTATTTAGATTTTTATAGTAATTAGCTATTAGATTATCTAAGAGATGGTTAGACTAGAAATAGCTAATCTTATTAGTTTTCTACTAATATAAATACTTAAGAAAGTTAGATATAGGATCTCAGCTATTATATTTCTTATTATATAAGGAGTTAAGAAGATCTTTAATTTAATTATTATAATATCTACTATTACTACTATAATTACTACTATAACTCTTTTAATATTAATTATTCAGAGGGAATAGAGAGGGTTTATTATTATTATTTCTATTACTTAAACTAGAATTACTAGAATTATTACTAAATTAATATTAATAGTATCTTTCAGAATATCTATAATTTTAATATACTACATATCTACTATTACTATTAATATCTTAATAAATTAAGTATTTTTTATCTTTAATATCTTAATATATTACTTCTTTAGCTTTTTAATATTTTTTATTAGTCTCTAGATATTTTATATCTTAAGATAGAAGTAGATTTAGAGAATTAATAATATTATTATAAAGACTAAAGTATTCTTTAATATATCTAGAGATATTATTATTTCAATATCTTATATCCTCTATATTTAGATATCTATTAATATCTTTAAAATATATATTAATATTTCTATTAGTAGTATTTATTTTAGCTTATAATATTATAATTAAAGTATAAAGATCTTCTTATAAAAGATTTTAATAAGATATTTTAGAATTAGTAATAATAATAGAATTTATTAAACTATCTAAAGTTTAAATAGCTAGACTACTAGACAGCTCTTAACTAGAATTGGCTTACTCTATATTTATTATTCTAGATATACTAGATGTACTAGTATTACAAATCTCTATGTATTAATAGTATACTATTATTAGATATATAATAGATAATATATATATAGAATTAGATAAGTTAAATTAGCTAGATATCTTAGGGATAATAGAGTATTCTAGATTAGTAACTATACTATACTTATAGCTGATAAGAAATATATATTCTAGAGAATTAGATACTTTAGTTCTAAATCTAATATCTAACTTATACTTATCTTACTATATATAATAGTTAGATAGATCTGAGATATAATATATAAGATATAGAAACTTAGAGATAGTCTTATTTAGAGATAGATAGTCTATAGACTAGTTGTAAGGAATAAACAATAGGACTTATTCAAAACAATAGCCGTTCGGCCAGCATTACCCACAGTCGCTAATTCATCCCTTGAATTAGGACTATGGACCTATTGACCCTACTGATACGCCCACGTGATACTTTTCTTCCCTAAAGGGAAGTTGTAGGGCTCTCAGCCCTTACACTAGTCTAGTAAATACTAGAAGTTATGATTTTAAAGTAGATTAGATATATAAAGCTGTATATATTTAGCTTATTAGAGAATATTATTATTAAGCTAATATATAAACTTATATTAAGTATAAAGCTAAAAGTTCTATAGCTAATAGACTAACTTAGTAAGATACTCTTATTTACTTAGAAGTAGCTTTGATATTAATAGTTTACTAGTTTACTTTATACTTATATAAGATATTTTTAAAGGATTAAGAGAGTTATCTATAGATAAAGAGAATAGTTTAGTATAGTTAATAAAATAATACTACTTTCTCTTATGAAGTCTTAATAATATATAGATTAAATAATTAAATAGCTGTTATATATAATATATAGAGTTCAGGAGTAATAAAAAATAAGATTTAAAAGATATAGAAATAATAAAAAGATAAAGTTCAGAGTATCTCTATAGTAGGCGAAAGTTCCGTCTTATAGTCAAGATAATAAGGAAGAAAGCTATATTAGAATAGAATTAGATAGAACTGTCTATAACCGACTTTTTATTTTAATAAGGAAGGAGACGTCGCAGCAGTTGTAAAAACAGAAGATACTATATATCCAGTGAGCGAGGGGAAGAGAAGATAAGTAATTAGTTCCCTGAAGAAGTCCCAAGAATAATGTATCTTGATATACTTTCGTATATCACAAAGCAGGAAGACGTGTAGATTACAACATGAGAAGAAAAGACACAATCCTCAGATATACTATAGGATGAAGCAGTCAAGAGCACATATTGGACATGCTACCAACTGTGAATAATTGCTGTAAGCAAGGAGGGAATCAATAAGGAAGTTATTCATTCTACGGAGGGCCTGGGAGGCCGGAAGGTTAAGTATCCCACGCCATCGATGCAGGCGATACAGGAAGGCGCGGAGGCCTCAAGACACCAGGAAGGCGCGGAGCCAAGCCGCAGAGGCGGCGGTCACAATATATATATTAGATATTAGTACTAATAGAAAGATTAATAAATATAAAAAATATTAGTATTATTAAATATCTGATATATCTTGATATCTCTATTTATATAAATATATAATAAGGACATTATTATGAAAGACTGGCATATATAATCGTTACTGGCAGTGTTGACAGCATTAAGAACGATTCTGCGCTATTATTCCGCCTTGGATGGATCTTAGTTAGTTCATCTCGTCTCAGGATCCTGGAAGAATCAACAACTTCATGATGATATAAGGAACGTCCCTACCGACAACTTTGACACTTAGCTATTCTTAGCCCAGAATAACCATCCCCTGATTTGTAATATTTTTCGAAGCATTTTCCTATGCAAAAAAGCTGCCCTACTTTTACCCGGCTTACCTAAGCAAGCACCCCATCAAACCCTCCCCCCCACCTTTATATACTAACCATACTAAACAAAATACATTCCGAGACTATCCCTAGGATGGAAGGGACATGGAAGGATGGTAAGACAGAGACGGAAGGATGGTAGGAACGGAGACAGGAGTATCAAAAATAAGACCATTTAGACTTTAGTTCTAAAATCTTTTTAAAATATATCAGCAGACTTACCATAGTATATATAGAAGGGAGTAATATAACCAGTTAAAGTATCCAATTAAAATACCAAAAATAAAATCTATAGTCTTTTTAGTATGGTCTTTAAACTTCATGGAGGTCAAGGGTGTTGAGGATTTTGAGGATTTTGATGAGGGCCGGCGCGGCTGCTGGTTCGGTGTACGATTACATTAGAGGATGGGCTCAACGGCTCGACCGCCTTCGGATCGGCGGCATTTTAATTGCGCGCTGCCGACGCATCTTGAGTGTTATTTACAATATGAGCATCGCTGGAAGTCAAGTCAACGCATGTTCGCACAACTAAATTTGTTCTTCATGCATTGAAGCATACATGATCTAATAGCTTCGGAGGCGATTTGACCATCGCTGCTATAGTCTCAAGGTCTCATAATGTTCGTACCGAAAGCTGCACTCGGGCCGACAGCCGCTTTGCGCAACAGCCGGAGACGGCAGCGTACGAATTCGGATGAGACCACGCATCAACCGAATGCAAAGCGCCAGCGCTCTGCTCTACGCCAAGTCGATACCGAAACTCTCAGGAATGGTTATGTGGAGAGTCAACTGGAAAATGTATCTTTGAGCACCGGACATATTGATCTGGTCAATGCCGGGTTCACTGCTACAGATTCTGCGGACACACACAAAGAAATACCTATTAGAGCCGCCAGAAGACCCGCGGTTAATCACGGGGAACTGCGCAAAGCGGTTATTCTTGTTTGTCACTCGCCCACGCTCGTGCGGTAATATATAACTGACCTCTGGTTTCATAGTCACAAACAGACTTCTATAGAGTCGAACAGCTGCCAGCGTTGCCAGATCAGGTCATTGGCTTTCAGTCAGGTCAGTATCGTCGTCTTACTTCCGCGTGGTATCTGTTAATGGACTTGCAGAGCCCTGTAGAGTTGTCTTTGGAAAGAGCCATGGCTTGGCGTTAGCATTGACGCGATCTTATGCAATAATCTGGCGATACTCGCCCGATACTCGATCACAGAATGCGGATGTCATTACTCTGCGCCTACCCGAGTCATGCAAGGGAGCCAACAATACAGCACCTCTTGGACAGCTCTTGTCCACAGCAACGGACGGGTTGCCCGGATTGATTGTTGTAGCACCAAACAGTGGTCATATATTTTATTGGGAGACCATAACGGGCGCCACAGCACTCGGATATACGAGGCAGAAATTGTGTGGCCTTCAGGGAAGCATCAACGGTCTTTTATCTGGCGAACAGGCTACCGAAGTCATCAATTGCGAGCCATCTGGTATTATTATCAGATTCTGTACAGGAAGAGCTGCTCATGTTACTGTGAGAGACCCCCAAGGGAAGCCAGCTGTCACGGCGAGCTTTCTTAGAAATCCTTCTACTGGTGCGAATATAGGGTTTTTGGGGGGGCTAAGGAATGCTTTTGGGGGGGGGTATTGGAGGAGAGACATCGCAGCAATACAAGCAGGTCAATCACACCAGCGGGGACAGAGAGAAGTCGTCATAGCCACTACGAGGGGTTCATTCGAAATATGGGACACGCATTGGAACAACGGAAGTTTGCTCAAGAAGCAGTTCGATGTGAGAAACTTGATGCTGGATACCTTGGGCCATGACTCGCATCATCTTGAAGAAAGCAATATCGAGGTTCTCGATTTCGTATTCGCCGCCATGGAACCCATCACTTACCAATCTCAAGGTAGCGAACCCAGCATGCGGGATGTCTTGGTGGTGGTGGCTACGACAACAGCGAGCTCTCAAGAATTATTCCTTCAACATCTGAGGCTCTCCGAGGAGGCTCAAATACTGTCCAGTACGGCGATCAAGCATCGTGGCTCTATGCCATATCTCCACGCGGCGCGAATCAAGCTACATGTTCCCCACCCTGGTAATATGGGCTTTCTCGTGGTCGGACAGTCCATCATTCTTCTTTCGCTTTCAGATGGAAGAGAGGTCTTGGACGGTATTCCTTTGGACAACATTCGTCAGCGAGGCGCATTTCACGATGTTATCAATTTACGGTCCGGGCGAGAGTACGATATATTAGGCACTGGGTGTGAGCATCGGAACATAGAGAGTGCAGATTCCGCATGTCTTATTATGGTCCGGGGTTTCGGAATTCTTCGAATCAGTGCTTTGGCTAGAGAGAAACAGGAGGCAATATTAAGTGCCGAGACTGACTACATCACTGCAAAGCATAGGATTGAGCAAGCGATCTTTTACGGTACCATCATGGAAAATCCATTGGATCTGACAAGCAAAGATGGTCTTGGTTTCCCCATAGGAGAAATTGAACGGGCTGCCCTCGAGGTGGCCAATGAAGTACTGCGTTCGACCTCGAAGTACATACCAACGACGTCTATATCCGTGGATCAGAGCCTCAAATTGCGGGCAAAGGCCCTTGATGATCTTTCGTTTCTCTTAATGCAACAGCAGAAAGTCCTGGATCGCTCGATCTGGTGGGAATTGCTGTGGGGCGCAGAAAAGATTGCAGCTCAGAGAGCTGTCTGGAAGCTGGAAGAGAGTTGGCGAAAGCAAACCGGAGAAGATCAAACGCCGCTGTTTGACGTACTAGAGTCAATGAGTGAGAGGTTCAAAACTCAACACGACAGTGATAGTGACAAGGTCCGTCACTGGTTCCTCTACGATACATTCCAACTGGAACATATTGTACCCTGGATTTACAAATCGATCAAACCACTAAAGGGCAACAGTATGAAGCAAGGATGGAGGACGATGGAAAGGCTTTTAAGGGCCAGCGAGCTGTCTCTAGCTGTTCTAGAAACCGCATATCGGTATAGAGATGAGCATGCTAGCCGCTACGGAATCACCGATGGCTATCTGGAGGATGGGGTACTAACAGGCAACTACAAGGGTCTCCCAGAATTTTGGACTTCGCGAAGCATGGGGTATGTCGAAACCGTACGCCTCTTAGATCTCGAACTGGACAGCTGCAGAGCCTGGATTCAGCAAAGAACAGGTGCTGCCGATGCACCGGCAAATGACACGCTGAAGAAGATTGCGACAAATGGTGCGAGGCAATTCCATATCCTCGGCCAAATGCACCGAGAGAGGGTCAGCTGGCTTGCTGCTCAGGAAGACCCTAAATTAATCGATGAGGGCATTAGTGTTGAACAAACACATGTCAAGCAACGCAAATGGCAACTTTTCAAGCTCGCGGGGATTGGTCATCTGGACGAGGCTATCAAATTGGCCGAAAATTTCAAGGATATGGAGGCACTGGTCGAGCTGATGATCGAGCTTCAAGACCAGATTAAGAGCCAGAGTGTTCCATCATACTCTCCAATCAGTACGGCTAGGGATCTTGAAAGTGCTTCACATCAACTGAGCAAGAAGATATCCGGTTATTTTGAGAGATTTGGCCAAGTATGGGCCGAGGCATTCTTTTCCCGGCAAATATCCCTAGGCCAGGCAGGAGTCCTTTTTGCAATGAAGAAGTTCCAGCCTCATGTCACCCAATTTTTGCGCAATCACTCGGCATACTCTCGACTATCTTGGATCAATGATGCGGTCGGTGAGAATGACTACGACAAGGTTGCTGAATCCTTGGAGAAGCTAGCCCTTCGACAGGAGTTAGACTTGTGGGGACATCGGGTAGAGTTGTCCTTAGCCAAACTTGCTAAATTAGCAGGATGGGAGCATTCGTCTTCACCCAGCAACTTGAAGGTCCAAAGGCATATCAGGCGCCTAGAAGACCTTGCAGAAATAGACGCCGTGCAGGAAGTGATATTCGCTTCTATTGCACCGACCATACAATGCGCCATCGACCAGAAAGCCGGGGTTGACATGGCTGTTTCAAGCATTGTAGGGAATATCTCGAAAGACAGGCCGTCGCTTGTCGAGATTATGAGGGAGGCTATCACGAAAATAGTGTCCCGGCAAGTGCTGAACGTTGACGAGTTGTTGGATTTGTTGACTCTAGCTAGAATACCTGGGACGGCGGGCAATGATCAGGATGCAATAATAGGAAAGGAGGATTACCTTGCTCTGCGCGTCCTACGCTTGAGTTCTCATGCCCAACAGAATCCGCAGCTCTATGCAGTTTTGGGGAAATTAGTTTGGAAGAGGTGCATGATTAAGGACGACTGGGTTGAAGTTGGAAGAGTTGCCGAGGAAATGGGAAGCGACTCCGAACATCTCCTTCACAGTACAGCACTTGCTCGCACCCTCGACTGGTGTCAGAAGGATAGTAGGTTAACTCTGCGAGTATTCGCTTATGGTTTAATTTGCTAACTTTCCTGCTAGGACTTGCTGAAAACCCATCCTGTTCATCGCTCTACATTCCTCAGACTCCGCAGGATGTCATTCTGAGTGATTCAGAATTGACAATTCTCACGGCTCGTTTTAGCCTGGAGCAGCGAGCCCGCATTCACCATGACCTTGAAAAGGAAAATGAGCTGATGTTACATTACATTGACTGTGGAAAGCTTGATTTCTGGTTCAAGACACTCTTTGAGTCGGTACATACGTCGCAGTCCATGATCTCTTTCTCTTCGGCGGAACACAGTCTAGAATCTGGTTTGCAGTTGCACGAGATGCCCAGCAGCCCAAATCGCAAGGCACAGCTTAACTGGCTTTGAGGCAGTGTTGAGTATGTTTGGCTACTAGATAGTCATGATAACTCCCTCTTTACTAGGAGTGAGCAGTGGAATTGAGTTAGGAGGCTTAATCACATCAGAGTGTCTGGAATTATGTGGCCTCTTCCGGCTCATCATGTGCATCCCCGCCTGCTACTGTAGTCAAACTAGCCTTAAGCAAGCTATGATCATAATACTCTATTCTTTCGTAGTGATGTAGCCTGGGACCTGCTGATAGGCTGTGCAGCTCACCGCCCATGGTATCAGCTGTAGATAGTTTTCCGGAGTTTGATTAATCTCTAGTTAATATCATGGATCTATAGAAGACAATAAATGTGTGATGAAGTTGATTATTGCAGAACTTATAAGATGGTGGGTATGGTGGTTTCAGGCCGTACAGCTGTTCTGCCATTAGCTTTCCGCCTTCGGGCATCCTTTCAATGGAACTGAGTTCCTTCTTCCATCTCCAATATTATCAAGATAGTCAGCCTCCTATTTAAACTATATTATTAAAAATTATTTTATATTGTCACAGTGCAAACTCAGAGCACCTACCCAACCTGCTTGATCCAACTGACCTGTTTGATCTGTTTGATCTATTTGATCTTTTTTGTTATGGGACCAAGGCCCTGATATAGAGCTCAGCTTCAGGCACCAGTTGGTGCCTGAGGCCTCGAACACTATACACTAAACTAGCGCTAGCTTAGTTTGCACACATCTAAAAGAATTTTGTATGAACTGATAAAATAGCTCTTTAGCTATTTCTTCTTATTTAAAGATATATTTTAATTAGTATAATCTATCTATTCTATAATATTAGAAATAGCTTATAAAAAGTCCTAGATAGAGTCTAACTAGATATATATAACTATATACTACTAGTAAAATATTGGTATATTAAGTATTAAATAAGTTTATCTGTATATATAGTTTTCTATATTATTAATAAACTGTAGTATTAATAGTATATTACCATTATTTATATAACGACTTTTTCTAGATAAACTATATACTTATTTATTATATAAAGAATTTTTTTATTAAAATTAATAAAAGCTTTATTCTTTTTAATTTTATTTTTATAGAAGAAGTAATTATAACACTAGTCTAGAAACTCTACTAGTTTAGTTATATTTCTAAGTTTACTAATAGGTATCTAAGTATATTAACTAAAGTATATCTAAGAAGATTTATAAATCTCTACTATTTTATAGCTACTCTAATAGCTATAATACTATTAGTATAGAATTAATTTCTTTTTATCTAGAATATAATTGATTATAAAGATCTCTTATTTATTTATATCTTTAGATTTAAAGATAGTATATATATTATAACTAATAGAATCTAATTACTATATTATACATAGAGTATAAATAAGTAGTTATAAAAGTATAGTAATAGTAATATATACTAATTATTCTATCTAGTATATGAAAGTCTAATATAAAGAATATAATATACTAATAAATGAAATATAATATAAATATAATAGAATACTTAAAGTATTACCTAATAGATAAATAATATAAGAAGTAAAAAGAATAGAAAGAAGAAAAGAAAATAATATAAAATTATTTTATTTATACTTTCTTGTAATAGATCTATCTATATAACTATAACTAAATACTAGTAAATGTATATAGAAAAGATATATAACTTTATTAATATTATCTATTCTATAAGTTCTTTATCTTTTATTACTAGATCTCTACTATTTCTAGTTAGAATATATAAGATTATCTCTAATATCTAAGCTAGATAGCTTATTCTTATAAAAAAGAGTATTATTTATAATAAAATAACTATTATTAGAAGTAAGATTATTAGAATAATATACAATAGTAATTATTAAAGTTATAAGATTATTAATAGTAGATCTATATCTTTTTAATATCTATAAGATATTAATTTCTCTATAGAAGACTACTAATTTCTTGAGGATTAGTCTATTTTATAGATATAGGCTATCTTTGTCTTTACTAGATAAATCCATAGTATTTAGTGGTTGATTCCTTACCTAGTCGACAGGCTTTCTACCCTGACAAGTAGATCCTATCACGGTTCTAGAACTAGATTAAGAAAGACTATTTCGATATATTATAAAGATACAACTAAAGAATTTACTATATCTATAATATATAAAACTAAGAATTTACTATATCTATAATATATAAAACTAAGAATTTAGCTAATTATAGAAATAAGAATTAGAGACTATTTATAAAAAAGATTTAGAAAAGATATAAAATAATTATAATCTTATTAGTACTTTAGAAGATTCTTTAGATTAGAAAAATAATTAATTCTTATATAATATTTCTAAAATACTATAAGGTCTTTCTATCTCTCTTTTAATTGGAGAATATAGAGAAACTACTATTATATAAAAGAAAAAAATATTTACTATAAAATTAAACTTCTGAAATAAGATAAAAAAGAACTAGAGATTCTAAAGAATTCTTTCTATAATAGATTTTAGAAGAAGGTAATAGTTCTATAGTCTAAGCTAACTGAACTACTAAAGAAGAACTTTATATAGGTATTAGCTACTTATTAGTAGTAGTTCTAGTATTATTTATATAGAAGTTAAAAGAAAAATTAAGATTCTATATAAACTACTAGATACTTAATATAATTATAAAAAAGAACTACCATTTACTATCTTTAATTTATAAAATATTAAACTAGATAGATTAAAAAAATAAAATAATTTACTAAACTAAATATATTATCTGTTTTTTATAAAATATATACTATAAGAATTAAGGATAGATAGTAGTCTTTTATATATAATATAAATTATATAACTAGTAATACTCTTTAGATTAATAAATATTCTAAGTATCTTTTAGAAGTATATTAACTAGATATTATATAAATATTTTAATAAGTTCTACTCAATCTATATTAATAATATACTAAGTCTTATAAATAGAGATATTAAAGAATATTATACTTATATATAAAAGATATTATAAAAGCTAAAGAAAATTAACCTATTTCTTAATATTAAGAAGTATAAGTTTAAATAGAAGAAAACTCTTTATCTTAGATTTATTATATAAATAGAAAAAGAAGTCAAGATAATTTAAGAAGATTTAAAATAATTACTTTCTAAGAAAGTTCTAAGTTAATTAAAATAATATAAAGTTTTCTAAAATTTATAAACTTCTATTAAGAATCTAATTTTTAAATTCTTAACTATTATATAATCTCTTATAAATCTAATAAAAAAAGATTAGTTATTTCTTTAGATACTAGAATATAAGATAAGTTTCTAGATATTAAAAAAAAATTTATAACTAAACTAGTTCTCTATTTCTTTTATCTAAAGTATATAATAGTAGTAGAAATAGACCTATCTAATTATAATATAGAAAAAATACTTTTCTAAATAAATAAGAAGAAAAACATATATTTCTATATTTATCTTTTAAAGTAAAATACTTTATTTAAATATAATTATAAGATTTATAGTAAGAAACTACTAGTAATTATATAATATCTAAAAGCTTAAAATACTGAGTTATACTTAGTATTAGAATTTATAAAACTAACCATAAGAATCTAAAGTATTTCTTAATTATATAAATTTATAGAAAAGAATATATAATAGAATCTTATTCTAAATGGATTTGATTTTAAATTAGTCTATTAGAAAGAAATAGAAAATAAATAAGTAGATGTTCTATTATAATAGAAATAAAATATATCTAATAAATAAGATTCTAGAATATTATTCTACATAATTTAGATCTTTAATAGAATATTAGAAAAAGATCTAAAATCTGAGACTAGTCTACTTACTATACCTCTAGTATAGCTATAGGTAATAAAAAAGAGTTAAATAAGAACTCTTTAGAATAGATATTATAGACTAAAATAAAACTACTAGAATTAGAGAATAAATCTAAGAATAGCTAGAATTATACTCTAGTAGTAGATATAGACTACTAAATTCTAGTAAGCTTATATGAAAGGTAATATAGAAATTTCTACTTTAGCTAAAATTAATAATTTTTCTAAGAAAATATTTAATTGTAGAAGCTTAAATATACTTTAAAGAAAGATAATAGATTTCTAACTATAAGCTACTTTACATAGAACTTATTTAAAATAATTATAATTCTTTTATTATAGAATATTCCAACTAAGAATAAATCTATACTTTTCTTAGTAGAGTATACTTCTAGTCTAATATATTCTAAGATATAAGAAGATATAATTATAACTATAATATCTATAATTATATAAAATTATAGAAATTACTAAATTATAAATTATAAAAGTTACTACTAATACTAGACTAATTATAGTAAAAACTAATAATAGATTTTATTACTAATTTATTTAATAGTAAGTTATATATAAATCCTCTTATAATTATAGATAAACTAATAAAAGAAGTAATACTTTATATAATAAAAAAGATTATTATAAAAGCTATAATTAAAATATTACTTAAAATAGTTCTTAAATAATATAGATTACTAAGAATCTTAATATTAGATTAAGATATTTAGTTTACTAGGTAAATATAAAAAAAAATATATAATCTATTAGAGATTAATAAATAGCTATTTATAGTTTACTATTCTTAAATAGATAGAGTAATAGAATATAGAGATAGTATAGTTAAATTCTATCTAAAACCTTATATAGATTATAATCACTAGAACTACTTTTTTTAACTATACTTTTTTTAACTAAACTAGTAATCAATAGTTATATAAGTATAGTTATTAGATTTTTACTATTTTTCTTAAACTATAAATATAAGTTAAGTATAATATACTAAGAGATTATATATAATATAGATCTAAAGATAGTCATATTTAATTCTATTTAATAAGAGAATATAGTTATATAAAAAATATATAAAATTCTAGACTAGACTTAAGATATTATTATCTATATATAATAAACTATAGAAAAGTAGATTAATAAATTCTACTAGACTACTTTCTTATATTAAAAGAGTAATTAAGTATAGCTAAATCTATAGGATATTTAAATAAACTATCTAAATAATAAGCTAGACTACAATAATATAAAGTATACTATTTTGGAAAGAATAGAACTATATACTATATAGCTTAATACTCTCAAAGAAATCT